AGTGAGAGATCATATTGGAATCCATAGAAAAATTTTGATGGAAAAAATGAATAGGATATTTGTTTATTTTCTGGGATTGTGGGGCCAAACACCAACATAAATATTCTCATTACTATTCACTCTGTTATAGATAAATAATCAAAATGTTTTGTTTTTGCTTTCCTATCAGTGGCCTATGGATCTTATTTTGATCATATTACTGAATGGAACAACTATCTGGAGGACAGCAATGTATTTTTTATTACCTATGAGGAAATAAAAGAGGTACGTTTTTAAGGGTAAATATTTCGATTTAATTTAATAATAAAATTATGTCTGGCCAAGTACTATATAGTAGTCAACAACTAATCAGGAAATTGAAATAGGGAATGGAACTCAAGGTTTCTGCCTGGTTACTTTCCTCTAAGTAAATGTCTCAGAAACATTTTCATTTTAAAGCCAATCTCTGGATCAGCCAATCTACTTGTGCTAATATTTCAATGAAACAATAAAGACTATGTTTTGTTTTGCTTATTTCTTTATTAATTCCAATTTGCATTAGTCAAACCTATAAATATCAAAACAACTGTGTGGTACCCAAATCAAGACATGGATTGAAGGAATTGAAATGTTTCCTGGAAAGCATCACTTACTTATGTTATATATTGATGTGTTAATCAGAATCCAGTCTCGGCAGTGAAAAAAATAGCCAAATTCTTTGATTTTTCTGTGACCGAAGAGGAGATTGAGAGCATTGTAAAGAAAACAAGTTTTGAAAGCATGAAAGGTACTGCAGAAAACTATGGAAAACTAGGGAAGGCACTTTTCCGCAAAGGTAATATTGTAATATTTTTAATAATTTTGTCAATAACACACTTAATAGTCTTCTCTAACCTAGTGGCTTCATGGTGTGTGGGATTTCAATTACCAATATTTAAAGGTGTGTGGGCTAGGAATGATAAGAGCTGATGTGAATGGATTGGGAAAGGCTGATATTCATAATGCTTTTAGGATATTAGCTTAGCAGCTTTATTAAAATATTAGGGACTATAATACAGACTTTAACTTACAACAGTTCATTTAGTGATCAAAGTTACAACACTACTGAAAAAAGTGACATGGCCATTTTTCACACTTACATCCATTGCAGTAGCCCCATGGTCATGTGATTGCTTATTGTACCCTATGACTATCATTACGTGTTGTACCTTATGATTCTTGATGAATGTATCTTTTCTTTTATGTACACTGAGAGCATTTGCACCAAGACAAATTCCTTGTGTGTCCAATCACACTCGGCCAATAAGGAATTCTATCTATCTATCTATCTATCTATCTATCTATCTATCTATCTATCT